TCGGGGAACTGGAGCACAGATCCAATTCCCTAAATCAAGAGCCCCTCACCACACAATGGAAATAAGACAGTCCTCCATGACGCACTGATTTTCTTGGGTTATCCTGGGTGGCTAACCCTCCCCCGGGTTATCCTGGGTGGCTATCCCTCCCCGAGGTTATCCTGGGTGGCTAACCCTCCCCTGGGTTATCCTGGGTGGCTAACCCTCCCCCAGGTTATCCTGGGTGGCTAACCCTCCCCCCTGGGTTTATCCTGGGTGGCTAACCCTCCCCCGGGTTATCCTGGGTGGCTAACCCTCCCCCAGGTTATCCTGGGTGGCTAACCCTCCCCTGGGTTATCCTGGGTGGCTAACCCTCCCCCAGGTTATCCTGGGTGGCTAACCCTCCCCAGGTTATCCTGGGTGGCTAACCCTCCCCGGGTTATCCTGGGTGGCTAACCCTCCCCCAGGTTATCCTGGGTGGCTAACCCTCCCCCAGGTTATCCTGGGTGGCTAACCCTCCCCCGGGTTATCCTGGGTGGCTAACCCTCCCCCGGGTTATCCTGGGTGGCTAACCCTCCCACGAGTTATCCTGGGTGGCTAACCCTTCCCCAGGTTATCCTGGGTGGCTAACCCTCCCCCAGGTTAAATATCCGAAGAAATTTTAGCTCTCTTATCAAGGTTTACTGTACTATGGTGATTTTGTAACTGCAAGTGACAAATTTTCATCCAAATTTGAATACGTTTTGTGAAGTCATTTACGTTAAACCATTTGGGGTTTATACAGTGCCTGGGGGGGGGGGGGGGAAGGCAGGAATGGCAATAAGTCACTTCGACTTTTTTGGGTTATCCTAGGTTCTCTACACATGCTGCTATGTATGATAATCTGTGTAACTGTATTTGTGTATATCTGAATAAACTTACTAATTCAGGTTCAATTTCATTTTTCTTCAAGAACTTACATTCTGACATGAATTTAAGCCATACGGTGACTCCAGATTCATTATTCTCGCTAGTGAAATGCTCTGCATAACCAGGGGCTTTCTGCATGCACAGCCGATGTCACCCATCTCTGTACAAACATTGTATCATGTGGTCCGTCAGCTGGGGCACAGAGTGCCATCAGGCAGTTACAGTGCTGCAGTTTACACTGAATGAATGGCAGTACATTAATGTTGCCCAATGGCAGTACATTAATGTTGCCCATGTGTGTGATGCTGGTGAACTGTTATTGTCATGGCAGAGGTGCATGGTTGTCTCCCAGTAAAGGCTGAAGGCCCTCGAAAAGGCCAACAGCTTCTTAAATAAAACAAAAATAATAATGACAAATCTCTCAGATAGGTCCTCAGGCCTCTGTCTTCCAGCCAGACTGCCACCCCTAAGCCTCTCCTGTATACAACCTCTAGACCCCTCAAGGAAAGTTCCTTGATGCTAGTGAGGGGCTCTTGATCTAGGGAATTGGATCTGTGCTCCAGTTCCCTGAATTGAGCCTGAATACTTTCCATTCACCCCCCCCCCATAGGCACTGTATAACTCTATGGGTTTAGCGCTCCCCATGATTATAGTAACTTCCTGAGCTGCTCATGGGAGACTTACATATTTATGTGAAGCATTACATCCATGGACCATTCAATGCAAGTAGCAGTGGTAGTAGTAGTAATAGCAGTAGTTGTAATAGTAGTATAATCATGAGGGAGCACTAAACACACAGGATTATAAAGCTGTGTCAAGGAACCTCCCTTGAGGGTAGTAGTAGTAGTAGTAGTAGCAGTGGTATTATAATTATAATAATAATGGGGAAGCACTAAACCCATACGATTACAAGTAGTAGTACTAGTGTGTGTGTGTGTGTACACAAATGCATGAAGTTAAGAGATAAGGCAGGTTGTACAAGCAGTACTACAATATATGCTTCTACGTTGGTTCAAAGATGAAATCTCTGCTGTCAGCCTCACTCTTCAACATCTCAGAAACTGTCACACATAATTTGTGACCTCGTAGGCCCCTAGTTTAACTGGGGAAGTGCCAAACCCATATGACCTGAGGAAGTATACGAGCAACTCAAATTCCTTGGATCAAAAATATTATTCAAGCAAAGCACTCCAATTCCTTGGACCAACTTCTTTACCAGTATCCAACATTATCCCCTCACAGGAAAGGGATGAAGCACTTTGGGAGGCATTCAGGTTCAACTCAAGAAAGGGGCAGTTAAGTCCCATTCCTTGGATCAAGAGCCCTCACTGGAAGTGAATTCTGCTGGCCTGCTGACAGGCTGGACAATTTATTAAGAGATGTCGAAATGGCAGTGAAGCTCAACAGTCCTTGCAGAGCAGTGCTAGTTTTCCCATGAGGTGTCCACGAGTGAGGCGCATGTGGCCGATGCATACAGAGAAGAGTGCAGTCTCCCAGATATGACAGCAGTGGGAAGATATCTAGATTATAATTATAATCATGGGGGAGCACTAAACCTGTAGGATTATACAGCGCATGTGGGGGGGAGGTATTCAGCCTCAATTCGGGGAACTGGAGCACAGATCTTATTCCCTAGAACAAGAGCCCCTACCAGTGTCAAGAAACCTCCCTTGAGGGAGATGATAGCTAGAAACCTAAATGGTATGACAAAAAAGTTTGTTGGGGACCAACTCAGATTAACATTGTTGTCATTTGGCTGAGGAGTTGTCAAGATCACTGAAAAACAATCCGAGTAAAGAATCTTTCTTTTTCTTCTTTCTTTCAACAAACCAGCCAATACCTGTGGGAAATTGGGAGGTCATGAACAGCTGATTAAATGGACGAGTCTGCTTGTTCATTACCCTAAACATTGACACATCCAGGGATCCAGCAAAACTGATGTCTTTGCATTTACCAGAAATGTGGTATTAATCATATTTGAATGCGAAGGGTGATGGGAGTTAAATTTCTCGATAGCCTGTGATGCTCTATAAGAGTTCAAAACAATGAATGATGAGGCAGACATCAGCTGTACGTGCATAACAGCCATGAGAATTGCATATAACTGATTTGAGAATACAAGCAGAATCTTGTAATGAAAATGACCTCAGGTGATTTTTGTCAGGAAAAACTACTCCATATCCAACACCATCAGCCTATTTAGAGCCATCACTGTACACTGCAACAGCACGAGAATGAGAATGGAAGTGATCAAGAAAGAACGAGCATAAAATAATACCAGGCAAGTGAGCTTTCCCACATGGAAGAGGGAAAGAGCAAACATGAATCATTGAGATTTATCAAGGAGGAAGGGGAAAAGGAAGATGCAGGGTGAACATAGAGGGAAGGTAAATTACAGGAAGCCAACAGAGTGAATAGAGAGAGGAAAGGGGCACGACTATCAGTTTGAAGCTTATCAACTACACGTGGGTCACTAAGGTGACACTGGCACCAATCAGTTAACACTCAATGTACTGGACTAATGGGGGAAGTAAGTGACTGTTATCCCTTCTGAGGGTTCCTTGATGGTAGTGAGGGGATAATGATCTAAGGAATTGAACCTGTGCACCCCTTCCTTTGATCAAACCTGAATGTATCATATTCCCCCAGGCACTGCATGATCTCTACAGGTTTAGCACCCCCATAAAAGTAATAATAATGGTAATGCAGTTATGGATAGAGAAGCTGTTTTACTGTGATAGTAACAATAAAAATTTTTTGTACGTAGTGGACATTGTTTCTGAATAGACTGACCCAATAAATTTTAGTTCCAGTCATCATATAGATTCACCATTCTTATACCAGTCAAATTAGAACTAGGCTCAAGTGTGTACCCCTTTACCATTTACAAAGTCACAGTGTGACTTTGTAAATGGTCCAAGTCGGACCGAAACGTCGCCGTAAGCTCCTCTTTTCTATGTGCGATCTATTTGTGTATGGACTGTTCCTCCACCACTTCTCATGCTGAATAATCCACATGGATTAGGACAGTACAGTCTCTCCCCTACTTACAAACAGGTTCGGTTCCGAGCAGTCGTTCATAAGTCCAACGTATGTACGTATACAGTGGTGTAGTATACAGAACAACCACTGTGAAAAAATAGTGAAATTCCAAGTGCTTTCGTAACTTCTCGCATTATTTCCTTGATAATGTGAGAAGTCACAGAAGCACTTTGAATTTCACTATTTTTCACAGTGGTTGTTCTGCATATTGTGATATCACCTGTTTACTGTAATCTAATTGCAGTAATGTAGTAGTATATGTACATATGAACATCAAGTAACCTAGAAGTGTACATAGTTTAAACACATACAATACAGGAAAAATACAAAAATACGTACACCCACCATCCGACTTATGACCTGTTCGACATATGACCACTTGACTTATGACCGGGTTTTTTATGCCAAATTTCTGGGAAATAAACAACTGTTTGTGTTGTACACAGTGTTTATCCTAAACCTTACAGTATAAAATACAGTACTAACAGCATAAAAAGTAAAGTAAAAAATGAAATACCAAAATAAAACAATAAAATAAAGTCATTACAAAAAATGTGATGCTGATATTCGGTAGTAAGGTTCAACCTATGTCCATTTCGACTTACGACTGGTTGGTCAGAACCAAGCTAAGTTGTAAGTCGGATGGAAACCTGTACATTATTCTGTCCACTTTTGTTTCCACTGTGATGGCCTGGCACTTCTTAGTACTAATAGTACTTGCATCACCACTGCTTTTGCTTAACAGCAGACATATTGGGGGTTATAATAATCACAAATATCACTGAATTTGTGAAGAGTGCACAAGCACACATACGAACGATACCACTAGAGTAACCTACTACGTATCGTTTACATCTCTGCTCTTCCCGCAAATTGTTCATTATCAAAAGTGCACAACACAAATGTTCATATGTTTGGGTTTCTGTACTACACAAAAATGAAATAATCCATATGAATTTATTTGTTCGCCCTGGCCAGTGTTTTCCTGATGATATGGTGATGTCTTTTTGAATTTAGTTAAATTGTACAGAATATATTGAAATAATCCAATGATAATTCACCACCAAGTAATATGAGGACAGCCATCACCACCTCATCAGTGTTTCAACATATTACATACATGTGCCTGAAATGTAATGCATGCTAGTGTTTTTTTTTTTGTGCTTAACAATATATGATTACATGTAAACTACATTTTCTATACTGCAGAAAAGACACAAACTTGTAATGTATGAGGCAGCAATTTATTGGGTTAATGTTGCTAAGTAATTTGACAAATCACTACTGCAATGGTTGGAACCAACTGCTTATGGGATAGTTGTTTTATGCAATGTAGCAATAGTGTTTTTTTTAGTGTGTTTGCAGTGTTTTGTTGCCACCATGGTAATACTAGCTAGCCAATGAAATGCTACAGTTGAGACTTTATATTGTATGCAAATGCTAATAGTCTAAGTGTTCCATTTAAAGGTAAATTCTCTGCACAATCTGCCTGATGCCATAATGCAAAATCAACTGCTAGGCCACAAGCAACTAGAATGCAACTGCAATATGCTACCTGCAAAAATGTACATAAAATTAGTTACATAATTGAAATGGATAGATGAGATAAAAACAAATCAGACAAGTTTTTCTATAATCAAATTTAAAATTTATATATACTAATACAGTGATGTATGTGAAAAATGCATGTACACAAACATATACAGTCAAACTCACAAAATCCTGAGATTTTATAATCATTTTACTGAATTTAAAAAGAAAAACTTTTTTCTTTTTAGATCACCCTGCCTTGATGGGATACGGCCAGTTCGTCAAAAAAAAAATATATATATACATGTATATATACAGTGGACCCCCGCATAGCGACCTTAATCCGTGCAAGAGGGCTGGCTGTTATGCGAAATGTTCGTATGTGAATGAATTTTCCCCATAAGAAATAATGGAAATAAAATTAATCCGTGCAAGACACCCAAAAGTATGAAAAAAAATTTTTTTTACCACATGAAATGTTAATTTTAGTACACACAAACTGAAAAAGGCATGCACAATTACATGACACTTACTTTTATTGAAGATCTGGTGATGATTGATGGATGGGAGGAGGGGAGAGAGAGTGTTAGTGTTTAGAAGGGGAATCCCCTTCCATTAAGACTTGAGGTGTCGAGTCCTTTTCTGGGGTTACTTCCCTTCTTCTTTTAATGCCACTAGGACCAGCTTCAGAGTCACTGGACTTCTTTCGCACAACATATCTGTCCATAGTGGCCTGTACCTCTCGTTCCTTTATGATTTGTCTAAAGTGGTTCACAACATTGTCATTGTAACAGTCACCAGCACGGCTTGCAATAGCTGTGTGAGGGTGATTTTCATCAAAAAAGGTTTGCACTTCAAGCCATTTTGCACACATTTCCTTAATCTTTGAAGTAGGCAATTCCTTCAATTTCTCTCTCCCCTCCTTTGAACCAGTTTCCTCAGGTCTGGCCTCTTGCTCTTGAAGTTGATCTATCAGCTCATCAGTGGTTAGTTCTTCATTGTCCTCCTCCACCAACTCTTCCACATCCTCCCCACTAACCTCCAACCCCAAGGACTTCCCCAATGCCACAATTGATTCCTCAACTGGTATACTCCTCTCAGGGTTTAGCCTCAAACCCTTCAAAATCCCTTTTGTCTACACATTCTGGCCACAGTTTCTTCCAAGCAGAGTTCAAGGTCTTCTTAGTCACTCCCTCCCAAGCCTTACCTATAAGGTTTATACAATTGAGGATATTAAAGTGATCTCTCCAAAACTCTCTTAGAGTCAGTTGAGTTTCTGAGGTCACTACAAAGCACCTTTCAAACAGAGCTTTTGTGTACAGTTTTTTGAAGTTTGCAATAACCTGCTGGTCCATGGGTTGCAGGAGAGGAGTGGTATTAGGAGGCAAAAACTTCACCTTAATGAAGCTCATGTCCCCATAAAGTCGCTCTGCCACGTCTGTAGGATGACCAGGGGCATTGTCTAACACCAGGAGGCACTTAAGTTCTAATTTCTTTTCAGTTAGGTAATCTTTGACATTGGGGGCAAATGCATGGTGTAACCAGTTATAGAAAAAGTCCCTAGTGACCCATGCCTTACTGTTTGATCTCCACAGCACACACAAATTATCCTTGAGGACATTCTTTGCCTGAACGCTCTGGGAGTTTCAGAGTGATACACTAATAAAGGCTTAACTTTGCAATCACCACTAGCATTGGCATACATCAACAAAGTAAGCCTGTCTTTCATAGGCTTATGTCCTGGGAGTGCCTTTTCCTCCTGAGTAATGTAGGTCCTGCTTGGCATTTTCTTCCAGAACAGGCCTGTTTCATCACAATTAAACACTTGTTCAGGTTTCAGTCCTTCAGTTTCTATGTACTCCTTGAATTCCTGCACATATTTTTCAGCCGCTTTGCGGTCCGAACTGGCAGCCTCACCATGCCGTATCACACTATGTATGCCACTACGCTTCTTAAATCTCTCAAACCAACCTTTGCTGGCCTTAAATTCACTCACATCATCACTAGTTGCAGGCCTTTTTTTAATTAAATCCTCATGCAACTTCCTAGCCTTTTCGCTTATGATCGCTTGAGAGACGCTATCTCCTGCTAGCTGTTTTTCATTTATCCACACCAATAAGAGTCTCTCAACATCTTCCATCACTTGCGATCTTTGTTTCGAAAACACAGTTAAACCTTTGGCAAGAACAGCTTCCTTGATTGCCTTTCTGTTGCCCACAATAGTAGAGATGGTTGATTTGGGTTTCTTGTACAACCTGACCAGGTCGGTGATACGCACTCCACTTTCATACTTATCAATGATCTCTTTCTTCATCTCTATTGGAATTCTAACCCTTATTGCTGTAGGGTTGGAACTAGAAGCTTTCTTGGGGCCCATGGTCACTTATTTTCCAGAAACAGCACCGAAAACACTGTAATAATACGAAATATTCTGATTGTATGCTTGAATGTTACCGCGGAGGCTGGCTGGTAAACAATGCCACCGGCGGAACATATGAGGCTGGCTCAGGCCGTACATTGGACGCGTCTCGGACGAAGGGCGCTGAGCGGGTTTTTGGGCGGTATGCGGGGCAAAATTTTAGCGATCAAAGCGTCCGGTATGCGGATTGTCCGTTATGCAAGGCGTCCGGTATGCGGGGGTCCACTGTATACCCTTTAAGGTCTAACAAATCTGGAATTTGCAAATATAAAAAACTGTCCATTTAAGTTTTGTTGTGGACCATATCTATTTATATAATACTCTTATCAGGTTACAGTAATCCTATAAAGATTTTGGTGCGGGAAAACTATTGAGCACATTTTGAACAAAAACTACCTGGAATAATTGACAATTAACCCACAATTTTGAGGATATTTTTTGACAACTTTGACAACAGTCTAAGAGAGCCAAAAATTTGAAACAAAAAATTGAGTGATATTTTTACTTACTTATTACACAGCCATTTCCATTTGAATCTTGGGATGAGGATTGTAACCCACCAACTCAAAATCTTCAAATTTGAAGTCATTGATAGATTCAACATTTCTTCTGATATTTAGCTTTGGGAATGGTCTTGGTTCTCGCTTCAGCTGTTCCTCTAGAGCAGAGCAGTGGTTGGAGTACACATGCGCATCTCCCAGCGTGTGTACAAAATCCCCAGGCTGCAGAAGAATCAAGTCAACTTTAATACAGAGAACAAATACACAGGCTTACTATGAAATTGAAATCAAGAAGCTGGGGGATAAATTAAAGCATGTAGCAACAGCCTGGTTAACTAGGCAAGCCTGGCCATAGCCGGGCTCCGGGAGCAGAAAAACTCTCGTAACACATCAAAGGTATATCAAAGGTATGTATTACAGAACAAGTGAATATGAACCGGGATACCTTTGATGAGATCTGAGAGTTTGTCAACACCCAGAGCCAGGCTCATCTGGTGCTTGAAATATCTGGCAGAGAATGATAGGTGAAAGTGTTTCTTTGTACAAGTTGCTCATTCCTGATGGTAAAATGACACATTACAAAGAAAAAACCCTGTATATACACCTACCATCCGACTTACGACTGAGTTTGGTTCTGAGAAACCGGTCGTAAGTCGAAATGGTCGTAAGTCGAACTTTACTACTGAATATCAACAAAACATTTTTGTAATGATTTTATTTTATTGTTTTATTTTGGTATTTCATGTTTTACTTTACTTTTTATGCTGTTAGTACTGTATTTTATACTGTAAGGTTTAGGATAAATACTGTGTACAACACAAATAGTTGTTTATTTCCCAGAAATTTGGCATTAAAAAACACGGTCATAAGTTGAGTGGTCATAAGTCGAGCAGGTCCTAAGTCGGATGGTAGGTGTATATAAATTATAATTATTTTAGACCTAAAATTGGAAACCAGTTTTAAGCTAGAGGTGAAGTAAGAAACTGGTACAAAATTTCTGAATTTTTTAAACTAAGAGAAGGAAGAACAAAAAAAAATACCAGGTGTATGATAGAGTTCTACAAGAAATTAGAAGTAAGACAATTAATTTATACGGTGTAGTATTTCATAGCATTACATTTGTAACTGGCAAAGGAGTTGCAAACATTGATAGGGAAACTGGAAATAACTGAAATAAGTGTAATCGAGTTGACAAGACTAAAAATACATATGAACAACAGGGTAATGAATAAAAACAAAAAATGTAGATTGCTGCAGAACAGAAATGCTAAAAAAAAAAAAATGAAACAAACAGAGTTAATATTTAGGGTTTTAACAGCTTTTTAACCCTGGAGTAAATCATACTGTGTTAGGGCTCAGTGACTACCTAAAGTACAATTTATGGTACTAACCAGAGTATTTGTAGCTACAGGACCCTGGTCACCTATCAACACTATTTCATTGGTCACATATTTTAGTTTCTACAAACATTACCTCTATGTCCACAGCAGAACTCTAACCTGCAAACTCTGCATCAGAGCACTGTATACTCTGATGCAGAATACTGGTGTCATGGATAAAGTACTGTGTACTCTGACAAAGAATTTGCAGGTTCGAGTCCTGCTGCGGACGTAGAGATAATGTTTTTAAATACAGTGGACCCCCGCATAACGCTATTAATCCATTCCTGAGAGCTCAATGTTATGCGAATTAATTTTCCCCATAAGAAATAATGGAAATCAAATTAATCCGTGCAAGACACCCAAAAGTATGAAAAAAAAATTTTTTTTTTACCACATGAAATATTAATTTTAATACACACAAACTTAAGAAAACATGCACAGTTACATGACACTTACCTTTATTGAAGATGTGGTGATGATTGATGGGATGGGAGGAGGGGAGACTGGATGGTTTTAGTGTTTAGAAGGGGAATCCCCTTCCATTAGGACTTGAGGTGTCAAGTCCTTTTCCGGGGTTGCTTCCCTTCTTCTTTTAATGCCACTAGGACCAGCTTCAGAGTCACTGGACTTCTGTCGCACAACATATCTGTCCATAGTGGCCTGTACCTCTCGTTCCTTTATGACTTTCCTAAAGTGTTTCACAACAGTGTCAGTGTAATAGTCACCAGCACGGCTTGCAATAGCTGTCTGAGGGTGATTTTCATCCATGAAGGTTTGCACTTCAAGCCACTTTGTACAGATTTCCTTAATCTTTGAAGTAGGCAACTTCTTCAATTTCTCTCTCCGAACTGGCAGCCTCACCATGCCTTATCACACTATGTATGCCACTACGCCTCTTAAATCTCTCAAACCAACCTTTGCTGGCCTTAAATTCACTCGCATCACCACTAGTTGCAAGCATTTTTCTAATTAAATCCTCGTGCAACTTCCTAGCCTTTTCACTTATGATCGCTTGAGAGATGCTATCGCCTGCTATCTGTTTTTCGCTTATCCACACCAATAACAGTCTCTCAACATCTTCTATCACTTGCGATCTCTGTTTCAAAAGCACAGTTAAACCTTTGGCAAGAACAGCTTCCTTGATTGCCGTTCTCTTGGACACAATAGAAGCGATGGTTGATTGGGGTTTACTATACAACCTGGCCAGCTCGGAGACACGCACTCCACTTTCATACTTAGCAATGATCTCTTTCTTCATCTCCATAGTAATTCTCACCCTTATTCCTGTAGGGTTGGCACTAGAAGCTTTCTTGGGGCCCATGGTCACTTATTTTTCAGGTGAAATCACTATAAAAAGGCTGTAATAATACGAAATGTTCTGATTATATGCTTGAATGTTACCGCGGAGGCTGGCTTGTAAACAATGCCACTGGCAGAACAAGTGAGGCTGGCTCAGGCCACATGGACGTGTCTCGGACGAATCGCGTTGAGCGAATTTTTTAACACTATGCGAGGCAAAATTTTAGCGATAAAATGTATCGCTATGCGGATTTAACACTATGTGATGCCAACATTATGCGGGGTTTAACTGTAATTTTTGCCTGTTTGTGCATTGTTAAGCATTTCAGTTTTCAGTGATTGAAGCACAGAGTTTGCATTATGCCCCATAGATGCTCATTAAATACTTAATCACATTAAAAATTAGTTCTTTGCAGCAAGTGTATCCTAAGGGCATAAAATTCCTTCTATGAAAATTATTGCAGCAAGTGTATCCTAAGGGCAAAAAATTCCTTCTATGAAAATTAAGCTGAGACCTTAAACACAAAAATTTATATTGAGAAATCACATCCTAGTATAACAGCTCGGTAATAGGATATAATTTATTTTGTGCCAATATGTCAAAGTTAAAATTTAAATTCACTCCGAGAGAATGCATACGAGGTCAAAAATTTATTGAGTAAATGTATGTACAGCTGATTGCACATAACTTATCACCAATTAACAATCTTGTAACATACAATTAGTTGTCAAAACAATCTTGTAACATATAATTAGGTCTCAAAACAATCTTGTAACATACAATTAGTTGTCAAAACAATCTTGTAGCATACAATTAGCTGTCAAAACAATCTTGTAACATATAATTAGGTCTCAAAACAATCTTGTAACATACAATTAGTTTTCAAAATAATCACTAGGACTTGTACTACATAATTTTAAAAAGTCTGGAATTTAGAATGGAAACGTAGCTGATATTTTGGCCCATTCCAGACCATTACCATCTGTCATTGGATGATGATCAAGGATGAGCTCAAATATCATCTATTATAGGTTAATCATCTGTTGTTCCAGCCATGGCACTAACATTTTTCAATAAGCTCTGTGTATTTTAACTAAATTCAAAGAGACACCAGCAGGATCTCATCAGGAAAACACTGGCAAGGACAAACAAATAAATTCATAAGAAGAATAAATAAATCATTAAAATACATATAATGAACAGGCTCTTATGAGAGAAAACATTAGGTTAACAAGATATAAATAATAAAGAAAAAAAAAACACATGCTGGCATAAACAAGAAGTGAGTGACAACAAAATTAGCCATTGTGTAAGTTGAACAAATGCAAAAATCAGTCTGGGAAAATCTGATGTAGTATATCAATTAAAAATGACTTACTGCTTCAGGGCCCATGAACCACTCTCGTTACTGCGACCTGTTGGTAGACCTCTCATTACATCAAGATAAACAATATAGGGAGATTAAGTTAAACAGAAACATGATAGAGCTTATAAATAACACTTGCGAGAAATGACAGAATTTTCTAATACAAATAATTTTAAGAAACAAAATCATGAAAAATCAAATGAGAATGCATAGTTATGTCAGATGGTTAACCCTTCAACTGTCCAAACGTAGATCTGCGTTTGCACGCGTAGCACTCCAACCTTGATTTTCTCCATAAGAAACAATGTAAAACAAACGTAGATCTACATTTGGACAGTTTAAGGGTTAAAAGCAAAATTTAAGAAGCACTGTATTTGAATAGATATAAAAATTTATGAAGGGATTTAGAGAAACCAGTTAGCCAGACTTAAGTCTGGGAGGTGGGAAATACAGCACCTGCACTCTGAAGGAGGGGTGGAAATATTTGCAGTTTTTAACTGTAGTATTAGTGCCTCTCTGGCAAGACAGTGATGGAGTGAGTAATGGTTAAAGTGTTTCTTCCCTTTTGGGTCACCCTACCTTTTAGATGGCCAGTTTGTTGAAAAAAAGGATGGAGCAACACATAGCTATACTATATTAGTAGGCACAGTATCCTCTTTGAAACTGTAAAAAGCATTGAAATTAATATATGAACAGATAATTCCCACGTAATTGGAAAAATCAAACACAGTAGAAAGGATCTATACATTTTATCCTCAATTCAAGCCCCTCTTCAGCAGATGGAAGATTTACCACTTCAATAATAAATGTTACATGTGTTCAATATTGGTATGATTGTGTTCAAAATTAGGTTCAGGAGAATTCTAGGAAGGTTTTTACATTAAAAATTAAAGAAAGTGAAGAAACATCTGAAGTAGAATATCGAGATTTATCTCAAGTCTTCGAAAAAGCACATACGTATATGAACTAAAAAGATAAAAAAAATAGCTTTATGGTATTTACAACAGATTTTTTATATACAGTGGACCCTCAGCTAACAATATTAATTCATTCCTGAGAGCTCATCGTTAACTGAAATTATCCTTAGCTGAATTAATTTTCCCCATAAGAAATAATGGAAATCAAATTAATCCGTGCAAGACACCCCAAAGTATGAAAAAAAAATTTTTTACCA